GATTTGAAGGCTCAAATTTCAGATGAGCTGTAAACACTATTACTCATTATGTAAGCTAAAAAATTCCTGTTTATGAAACAGTATGATTGGTCGAACATACAGTGCTCCTTTAAGTCATTCGAGATCAAAGGTGTCCGAAAGCCAAAGCCACACGATAGACAAACATTTGATTTTTTTTAACAGTAGGTACAAAATACAAATGGTACAAAATATTGCTGCAAGTTGATTCATTTTATATAAACTAACTAAAATAACAAAATAGGCAAATTAACAACACATCCTAAAAAAATAACAAGGTTTGGGAGCATATATTAATATTTTTTAAATGCTTGTAAAATAAGAAATTATACTTATCACAGTATTGAATACAGTGGTTCTCAATCTTTTCAAAATATTCATATTTCATTTTCCCAAATAGTCAGTGCCCATTTAAGTCCTTCCTTCCACAATAAGTTGTGTTTTGGGCTATTTCAAACTATAATCAAAATTATGAGTTTAAAAGAAATTATCAATAGGTAAAGAACCAAACTTTATTTTGTATTTGATAACCACTGTTTCAGCATATTATTGAAGACAGACACACCTGTTGCCAACATTCCTGGGAATATATGGTGATTAAAAGTTGAACAACTTACTAATATAGAATTAGGAATGGTATTGTCATCAAGGCATTTTTAATATTATTTAACAAATTATTAATAAACATGAGTTTGAGCTTTAATTGTAAATGTACTACTAGTGCCAGTAAAAGCAGTAATAGTTCCCAGAATATTCTTGTGATCCCCATGGTATTTAATTCTATAAGAACCAACTGGTTGTTTAGCTGGTATATTCCATGTTATTGTAACTTGACTTTCTCCTAATAAAAATATTCCTTTTGATTCCCAATGAAAGCTGTAAAACAACAAAATTTCACATACAATAATCCATTTCTTAATGGGACAGAAAAAACAATAATTATTATTTTCAATGACAAAATTGATATGAATAGATATATTTAAATGAAAATATTTAAATATATTGAAGATCTAACATAACTGATAATTTGTCCAATATACTTACAATGTATCCCAATTACTATCTGTAGCTACAACTGACCAGCTATCATCACCTTCTTTCTTTTCTATTTCTAAAAATGTTTTACCAAGCTGAAATAAATACAGTATTCCTTTTTCAGAGAAAAAAAATAATAAATTGATCATACCACCAGTAACTTATATAAGGCAATAAATTAGCAATGAGATTCAATATCCAACTTTTTATACTAATTGTTATAAATAGGCAGGCAATACCATCTACTGAACTATAGTAAAGCACATCAGAACATCTACAATATTTGTAATCATAACCTCAAAAAATCAATCTTCATATTTCAAAAACATCATGTGCCTCACAAAAATAACTCAGCTTCTAATTTAATCTAATTAAAATTCGATAATAATTTTATTTTGTTATATTTTTTCTTCGGTCTCCATTGCAAAAACAATTTTGTTTTGTAAGTTTTTCTTCGGTCTCCATTAAAATTTCGTTTTGTTAGTTTTTCGTTGGTCTCCATTGCAATTTCGATTTGTTAGTTTTCCAAGGAGCTCCATAACAATTTCGTTTTGTTTGTTTTCGTAGGTCTCCATGGAAAAAAAAGGTAATTGCCTCTAGTTCAGCCGCAGCAAAAATAAAACACAAAGGATGAAGAAAAATCTATTTTATTTTGAAACTAGCAAGTTCTCATTTATGCAGTTATAAAGTGTTGTTTGAATTCAAAGTCAGACATGAATAACATGGGCAATACTAAGCAAAACTCAACTCAATTTGTAATTGTCACGAGTACATCATATTAAACAATGGTTGGATATGAAACTGAACTCTTGACAAAGTTTGTGTTTTCTTTCTGAACAAATCCTACATACCTATTTGTCTACTTACCTTTATATTATTTCTAGGATTAGCTCCAACCATTGTGACTTGCACTGAAGTATTTTGAGAATAAACTGGTTTAACATCAGTAATGATATCACCATAATTTCTGGTACCAGCTGTATCATATATTACAGGTGGGAGGAATGATAGTTGTTTACCTATTAGATTAGGTGGATTAGGTCCTCCTGGCACTTCCTCTCCCTAAAATATAATCAATACCAACCATACCTATGTCAAAACGTCAGCGATAATAACAAGAAATCATGTTAATTTTCCAACAAGTAAAACATAATGATGATTCTCAATATGCTTTCTTGACCAATGTTGAAGGCTTGTATAAGAGTACACTGATCTTATTTTATACATATTCTGTTTTTATCATTTCTCTACAATAAATAGTAGATGCTGCTTCATACCTCTGGACCTATAAATAGAACAATAAACTAAAAAGGAATCACACTGAAATTACAGTTGCATGTTTTTTATGTGGATTATTACACTTGCCACTATGGGTAACTCTCAGGATAATATAAATACAGAACTGTATATTTTGAGCTCAGTATTAACATGTGTAGTTCTGCAGTAGGAGGTTCGAACAGATTAACAATACAGAAGAATTTAAAGAACTGATTAGATTAAGTACAGACACAGAAGCAAAACAGAATATATAGACAATGTTTAACAATACAGTGCTGATTCATCTATGCAGGACTTTACAAATGTGTCAAAGCAGGGTGATTGTGACTTTTGTCAAATTGTCAAGTATCAAATATGTCACAAAGGATAGTTTGAAGGTTACTTTTACCAGGGCCTACATGAAATAAGATAGCTTGCGAGGCAAGGTAACATATACCCACTGGCAGCTGTGAGGAATGATAAAACAGTCTTTAGAGACTAAAGTACGAATTTTCTCATATTGAAGAAATTTTATTAGTTTGAATTCAATTACATATATATATGCCAGTTATTTATGCTGAGTGATTCCACAAATTTTTTTAAAATCAATATCAATAACCCAAATACAACAAACAATTAAATCACACAGCTCTAATCAAGGGCAAAAAACAACTTTTGACGCGTGTTTACAAAGTCAAGGGCAATAACTCAAAAAAGGTTCATCAAAAATATCTCAAGTTAGAACTTGTCCGAGATCTTATCAATTCCAATGATCACACCAAGTTTCATTAAAATCGGTTGAAAACTGTAGCATCTATTGTGCTCACAAACAAATTTTGACATGTTTTTCATAAGTCAAGGGCAATAACTCCGAAAGCGTTCATTGAAAATACCTTAAGTTAGAACTTGTCCGAGATTTGATCAATTCCAATGATCATAACAAGTTTGATCAAATTTGGTTGAAAACTGTAGCTTCTATAGTGCTCACAAACACATTTTGACGCGTTTTTACAAAGTCAAGGGCAATAACTAAAAAACCGTTTATCGAAAATGCGTCAAGTTAGAACTTGTCAGAGATCTTATAAATTCTAATGATCACACCAAGTTTCATCAGAATCGGATGAAAACTGTAGCTTCAATCCTGCTCACGAACAATTTTTAACAAATTTCAAGGCTTTCTAAGTCAAGGGCAATATCTCAAAAACCGTTCATCGAAAATATGTCAAATTCGAACTTGACCGAGATCTTATCAATCTAAAGCATCACACCAAGTTTTATCAAAATCAGATAAAAACTGTAGTCTCTATAGTGCTCACAAGAAATGTTGACGGACGGACCGATGGACAGGGGCAACGACAATATACGACCACATATTCATGTGGGCGTATAAAAACACATATCAGACCTGATATTCTTCATATGTGGCCACATAATCAGCATAATCATTAGTTAATCCAGCTATAACTGATACAGTATCTTCAGACATAGCCTACAATATACAGATAACATCAAATATAAACTATATAAATAAAGTATCTTCAGACATAGCCTACACTCTATAAATACAGTATCTTCAGACATAGCCTACACTCTATAAATACAGTATCTTCAGACATAGCCTACAATATACAGATAACATCAAATATAAACTATATAAATAAAGTATCTTCAGACATAGCCTACACTCTATAAATACAGTATCTTCAGACATAGCCTACACTCTATAAATACAGTATCTTCAGACATAGCCTACATACTATAAATACAGTATCTTCAGACATAGCCTACACTCTATAAATACAGTATCTTCAGACATAGCCTACATACTATATAAATACAGTATCTTCAGACATAGCCTACACTCTATAAATACAGTATCTTCAGACATAGCCTACATACTATATAAATACAGTATCTTCAGCAATAAAAACTTACTTAAAAAACACTTGTTTTTTTTTTTTCGACAATCAACGCTTGGTGCACTCTGTTAATTGACTTTACATTTCACACTTAATGAGAAGTTTTTCGACTATTTGAAATAATATATAACTTCATAAAAGGTGTTCATATTTACAAACCTCAAAACAGAATAAAGAAAATCTATTACCTCGTTTGATAATACAATGTTTACCTGATAGAGCAAAACACGGTAAAAATATTTCATAGACTCTGACATGTTTAAGAGATCAAGCATTAATGTATATCATTTAATATCAAATTGTTCCCACCTTTTCAACGCTTTCTCTCATTCTTCTTCCAGACATTGTTCTAAAATTACAGAAAATTGTGATAATTTGAGATTAAAAATGAATTTAAATTTGGATCCACATAAATTTCGGCATCCAAATAATATTAGAATATAGTATGATAACCTGTCTCCAATGAGTCACTGTAAAGTATTGTTTTGCAAGAAATATTTAGAAGGTTTGTTATTTTTGTTAAATGAATTTAGAGTTAAAACGGGGACATAATTTTAAACATCAAACTTCTTTTGACAGAGTTTTATCAATGAATGATTTTACTTGAATGTTCTCTAAATAAGGATCACATAGGTTACACTTATAATACAATTTCAATTTTTATTTGTTTGAAACTGCTATATTATTACTGCTGTACTATACTCTGGTTAGGTTAATAAAATATATTACGTGAATTCTGCTGGTAGAGCTATAACTGCCAACTGTCCTATCTTTAATATCTGTACATCTACAATATCTGGCTGCCACTGGTATGGTTTCTTAATCTGTACAGAAATAATAGATTGGTTAGAAATTTAGGCAATAAATACACTTCACATATTCAATGAACCAAAGAAAAAGCTGACAATCTTATGTTGAAAATAATATCATTTATACTTTGTTTATTGCCCTGTATTTATATGGAACTTATACATTTCACTTCAAAACGAATTCTTAAAGCATCACAAACAGTATAAAAACTTAAGTTACAAACCTCCCCAGTATCTAGTAAGATTGGTTTAGGATGATGACAAGAAACTTGTTCTTTAGATGGAGCATGGAGAAAATCTCTTACAAAGTCCCATAATAAACTGGTAGTGTTGGCTCCTACAATATATTAATCAATATTAATTCTACAAACAATCTTATCTCAAACGTTTGTGCAACACTTCTTCTCTGGCTTATATCATACCTAGCTGTGTAATCATATATTACTCTACCACATTTAATGTAAATGTACTCCAATATAAAAATATCCCCTGTGTAATGTGTATTTTAAATTATTATCCATCATGAATGCTCTATTTCCCATGAATTCATTCAATCTGCTTGTTAAAATAAAAACTATATATCATACCTTGTTCAAAATTAAACATACCAGGCCCATCAGTGGTTCCTGCAGCAAAAGCATATCCCATTGCTGGTTTACAGGTTTTTACCTTATATACAAAAATATTGATTTAATATGTTGAGCAAGAGATATAACCTATCCTCAAAATTATTAGTATAAAAGACAAGATGATTGAAATTGATTGAAGATACAAGCAATTAAAATTAACTTTTGTCAAACATTAATGAGAAAATAATGATAACATGTGAGGCTGAAAAATTTAGAAAACAGGTTGTTTAGTCCTTGACATTAGACAATCTAGACATAAGAAAATTACACTCACTTTGGTGGTAGAGTTGATCTTGACTTGGACATTTGTCATATCAACATAGGTATGTCTAAAATCTACAGTACCAGTTATCATATTACTGGCTGAATTATATAGTTCCTGAAAAAATATATCAATCAGCAACTGTTATAAACCAGTTAATAACTGAAAAGTCAGCAATTATTCTTTGGTTTGAACATATGATTTCAAAGGAGAATTGTCTGGCTTGCATTTCCATGAAATCTATTACTTTCATCCTAAAAATTCTTACCAAAGCTTTTTTATACTGATTTTCACCAATAATTCGGGTACTGTCTACCATATCTTTACCGGGACCTGCTGCTATACATAGTTCATTCTACAAATATAATAATCTTATAAATGCTTGGTGCATCTTAAAATCACCTTGATCCATTGTTAAAGGGATCCATTAACCATGTAAAGAGCACCATTCTACTGTAACAGGAATAATTTTGTTATATCAATGAGCTTAATTAAATTGTTGTATTTCTAAAATCATCAAACACAGGTATTCAAAAAAACAGCTAATTACCTTTCCATGACAAGTACTATGTAAGATATCACAAGGTAGACCAGTATCTTGACAATGTGGACCTTTAGTATTAGGTGATACATCTCCTTCATTACTCTGACCAAATGCAGCCACAAAATCTCCCTAAATATGTTAAAAGTTAGGATTAACTAGAGCCAACTGGAACATAGGGTTCTTAAGGATTATTTAATCAAATAGATAATTTTTTGTTGGTGCTTCTCATTTAGATTAGTAATAAAAATTCTATAATAAAATATGTGTCATGTATATTCACTATAGTCAATCAAATAATGTCCTGAAAACTAATAGATGACATAAGTAAATTAAAAATCAAGACCTTTCCAGGTAGTGAGTCTTTATTCATAGCCTGTTCAAATAACTGTGCAGCATAACCCTTATTATCTCCACTAATATATCCATTGGTATTATTCATACTAGTACAATGTACAGCAAACCAACTGAAAGGAACATGATAATCAGATTTAGTCTATATAGTTTGTTAGAGGGGTATGATGTAAAGGGGCACATTCACCGTCCATGCCATCAATTGTACTTTAGTCCACAATTGTTTAGTTCAACTAGTTAGTAATTGTGTTTACGGCTTACAGTCAAAATTTAAAAGTTAAATTGACAACCCAGTAGATGAGTAGTAAAGTAATGGATTTCTAGTATAAGGTTTATTTGTAGATATTATATATTTTTCATCCTTTTTAATACTTCTGAAGACTATTACATATTTTCAAGGCAAACAAAAACAATTCATAATAATGTGGCCAATTAAAACTAATATACAAACCCTTTTTAATAAATTTGTGCCCTTACAATCATCTCCCCAACACAAATAAAATATCACAATTGGCTACCTCATTTCCATAGGCTTGTAATGCTTACCTCATCATACCAAAACCTTTATCATTAGCATCAGCAAACTTTAATATAGTCATATTTTTATCTACATTATACTCATATCTGAAATAGCATACATATACTTGTTCAAAATATTCATCAATAATATCTTCCAGTCTTAAAATGCAGACATATATTTCGTTCTATGTTTTTTTCTGCAGGTACTACACTTGCAGTCCATGATCTGACAAGATAGCATCAAATGTTGTCATAATATATGCTAGCAAGTCAAAAACACTGTTGTAGGTGGTTAGATAATATATCAATAATACAATAAAAAGAAACTTTTATCTTTACCGTTTTCTCTCAGATGCTGGATTATTAAGATAAGACGAAGGACTTCTATTGATATTACTGTCTAACAATAAACCACTATTTATATAGATATTAGCTGGTTGAATTCTATCATGAGCATTCTGTATACTCTATAATGAATCACATAATATTAGACTACAATCTACTTACAATACAAGGTATCAGAGTAGGGCTGGCTAACGATTACGAAATTAAGATCGATTATCAACGGCAGACTACGATCAATAACCGATTAATAGTTGAGAATGTTGAAATGAAATATATATGTTGTAATGCGCATGAATAACTGGAAACGGAATAGATACTGGGCCGAGAGATTGAGCTTGAACTTCACTTGGTAGCGTGGCTGCTGCCATGTAAACATCATCATCTTATTCATCTAAATGTTTGTGTTGTAATGTTACCATGGATTTGTTATGTATCGTCCTGTATATTTGTCATCCATGTAAATAAATAATCATCATCATTAACTTACAGAGTTTACAGTGAAACTCTCTATATATACAATAAAAAAACATGTCAAATTTTGAAATTGTTGAATTATTTATTTGCCATAGAAGAACATTTTGCTTTGATCAGTAAATATATTTTATTGTTAATTATGTACTGAAGTGAATCTGAAACATATCGTAACTAGAGTGTTGCCTGCAACATGTTTCAAGTTCCGTTTCAATATTTCTAGTCCAATCTACAATTGATGTATTTTAACAGTAAAAATATTTTGTCACTGTAGTATTATAATACTTACTAAAGTTATTCCATCAACTAGAGCTTCAAAAGATTCTTTAACAAATCCTAAAGATGTAATATCAAATAATAAATATTGATGAAATCCACCTGGTCCTGAATGTGTATGTATACCACTAATACCAACATTTCTCTCTGTATATAATCCACCATATTTACTCTTCAATCTTTTGATAACCTAAAATACAATACTAATTACTACTAATGTCAATATATGAGAGTAATAAAACTGTTATTGATATCTAATATCATTGCATCTTTGGATTTGTAGATATTCGAAAGGTTTATAAAATCATTTCTATATGTCTATAATTTTTTATGTGTAAAATGGTTTTCTGAGCACAAAAATATTGATCTGAGACGCTTTTCTAGGACAATAATTCATGATAAAGATTTTGATATAGTATTGTCGTCTTTATAACTTTGATATACCAGGATTTCACAAGCCTCATTCTTAATTACCTCTAATTTGACACCTTGTGATAACATACACGAATCCACATTGACGAATACTACTCTAGTTTTATTTTCTTTATCGGCTACTATGTAGGCTCTACTGTATTGTCTGATATGTATTCCATGAGATGTTTGGACAGGGTTAGCATAGCCCATCTACAAAATATATCAGAATATATCTATTTCAAACTGATGCTGTAAAACAATCATTTGAGTTTGAGGGTTTGAGGGTAATGAGGTTTAGTTACAATCTATTGTCATAGATTACCATAACAACCCCAAACTTATTTTTCTATATTCCAAGGCTAAAGGAATGTAATTGATTTGGATTTTTATATTTGTGAAAGGATGATCTGATTTCTTTTTCGGTAATGAAAATTGACAAAAATATCTGGACATCTTTGCAATACATAAACATAACTAGGTGTTGACATGTGTGAAGAGCAAATTATGTCGATTTCAACGAACAGTTAATATTCTATTTTGACTATTAATCATGTCTCTAAGCATAGTCAAACCATAGCAACTGTGACAGTCTTAGTCTCCAAGTATTTGACTAGGTCATTAGTCATTTTGGCAAGGTAGGCCCAAGTATGCTTATATCAAATGTAAAATCACCATACAATTTCATATGGCTTACATAATTATGAACCAAAAAACATTTATTATTTGTAAAATGACATCAGAGGATCAGATAAGTGAGTGATGTCACGAGTGAGGAGATGTTACATTTTTTCAATTAGTTAAGTATTTGGGACTATTACCATATTCACTTCAGCTGCCGGTCCAGTAACATCTGAAATACCAGCACCAATTAAAAAATTGGTCGGAACACAGTTTGAAAGAGTTATCATGGAAAAGATGCAGAAAAGCACAAAAACATGATGCTTCGTGTGTTCCGCCATTTTGTCTACAAAAGGATATCACATGATATCCGAATGTCACATGACACCAGTCGAGTCCAAATTAATGTCAGCATGATGAACATTCAAAGTGATTGAAAAGTACAAAATATGGCAAGCTTGAAGTGGTTATTCAATTTTTTAATATAATTTGATGGTACAAAAATCTGGAAGAAAACACCTATTCTGCATTTTTTCTAGGCGATAATCTAACCAAACAGTAAATGTTACTTGTTTACCTTCTGTCAATAATGGTATATCCTTTCAACTCTATAAACAATCGTGTTGTATGAGAAATGTGAGAGGTGGTCCCATTTTCTTTCTCATCAACCCAAATTCTGGGCCATTCATACTGCCACTGTTATCACGTACTCACTCTGCAACGTGTACGAACTGCCAGGAACGTTCTAGTAACAGAACTCTGTGGAACTTTTCATACAGATTCCAAATGCATTGAAAGCAGGTGATTGCTGGTATTTTTGAAGAAAGAGAGAAGTGTATTTGAAGTTAGGTTAACTATTTGGAAGGTATTTTGACATTGGAGATACTATTTTAAGACAATATGTGGAAGTATTTGGCATTGGTTCTTGCCTGCGTGGCAAACATGGTAGAATCAGAATTGTTTACATCAATGGCCCATCTACAAACAGCCTTGTATGCAGAAAGAGATATTGCTAGAACTTTAAAACAATACATTGAATCAGAAGAAAAAAGAATAGAAAAATTGAAAAGGTAAATGGATGTGTTTTATAGATAGGCCTAGTTATTTTTTTGCAGCCTCATATCTACTTGAACCCACATTTATTATATTTTATTCCTTTTAAACCCAATAGTTGTATTAACCTTTAGTTCTGGTAGTCAAACTAATAATAGGCCTACCGGAAAGCTTAGTTACCAATCTTATGGATTTTCATTCCAAATATTCAAACAAAGGCCTATATTGTATTTTTTCAAACTAACTGCACAAACCATACTTTCTCACTACAGCTAGTGGTTATGCCTACATGCTTTTGCTTTCATAACATTACTTTAGCGCAATGTTACAACCTAAAATTCTTAATTATTCGATATTACTACTTATTGCGATTCTTTAAATACAACATGTATGTGTGCCATTTTTGAGGGTTGATTTGAGTATTTGATATGTATTAGTCTTCAGAAGCCCTAAAAATGTACGAACATTGCATAATTCCTTACTAAGAAATTCTTTTCCCGTTTCTATAGATGTCTTTTCTATATGACAGTGTCTCAGAAAAAGATGACCTGTCTTTAAAACTTTCAAACATGGGTAATTCTGGACATACATGGATTTGAAGGCTCAAATTTCAATGTTAGGCTAAAGACACTATATTACTGATTGGCTTAGCTAAAAAATTCTGAAACTAAAAATGGTGCTGATATGAATTGTTGACTAATAGTATTATTAGTACCCCAACATTTTCCAAAAATTTACTACAACTGGAGAAAAATAGAGATCACTTGATTAAATTTTTGAAGCCATTGAAGGCATGAAATGAGAATATTATTCTTTGAATGTATGGTAACTACTGATAGGCGATAGGATTATAGCCACTCTGGGACCTAACTATAATGGCCCAGAATTGTTTATTAAATTTTTTTGAATATATATCACTAAATCACTTTTCACATCAGACTGTGAACATTTTCAACTAGTTGTAATGCTATGGAGTATTTAATCTGTATACTATCTAGATAGTGACAATTAAATTTCTAGATTAGAATGATTAGTAAAATACTGAAGGCGATTTTGACTGAGACCATGGTTTGGTGCCAAATTGACTATAACTCACCTACCAGTGATGAAAGCCTGAAAAGGTTTTGAAAGGATATATTTTCGCTATGAATAAATAAGAGTGTGATAAGAAATATGTGATAAATCTGTTGATTACATATCTGTCAACTCCCCTATTTCCTCTTAATTATATTACTAATAATTGATTATTGTTTCACAAAGTGATAAGATTATAAATAGTAAATTGAGGAAATACTTAATGGATATGAATTGACTTTCTGCATGAGAAAAAATGATTAAATACAATGGCTAATAGATATTATTTCCTGTAATAATCTCAATAAGATTCCAATACAGTAATAATGTATTGTCTATAATCATCTGAAAAACAAATTTACACTGTGATAATTTTTTTATTCTTTTGTGTTACCTTACTATTCCGTACTTTTGAATTTTTGTGTTCTGTAGGCCTACTGAACTATTTCTGAATGAGAGCTTATAAACTTTAAAAAAAAAAAAAAAACAATGTCTGGGCTAATTTGTTATGTGAAATATATTTTTGTGCCCATTGATAATGCCTGCAACAAATACTATTTGATATAACTGGTATGCTTATTAAGCTTATAAATTATATAATCTGAGTAATAATATTTTTGTTGGGATGTCCTGATATATGTATTCAAAAAGCTTAATATCTTTACCCAAACCCAAAATTTAGTACAATCCTGCAGTTTGTATGAGATCATTTCTGACAGGTTTTGGTATAGAGTGGTTTTTGATACCAGTATAGAAACAAATTTTATATCCAATATGTTAAACAAAATTTAATTTCAACTAGCAATTGGAAAGGAAGAAATTGAACATTTTTAAGAGGCTCTCTTAGCCAATGCAAAATTGCTATTTAAAATTAAGTTTCGATTAAAAAAAATTTGGTATTGCCCAAGATATCTGCTATAATCTAGTACTTATCCTAAGGACAGCATGATTTAAGCTGTAGAAATGAATTAGAAAATCGCTGCGTCTGATTGAAATTTCCCTCAGAGCTAGGCAAATAATTATTGGCATCTAATGAAAATTTCAAGCTATTGCACAAGAACATTAATATCCTTTGGTTTCTGACTACTAGTCAGATTATGCAAGTGCCATGGGGCTCAAATATTAGATATATATATATATATCAAAATCTTTGTAATTTTCTGTTGGATCAGTTTAAATCTGTAGGAAATTCTAATGTTAGTGGGATATTATTCTGTTGTGACATTTACACTGATCAGTTTTGAGGATTTGATACTTAAAATGCCATTGGAAAGTTGAAATCTAAACAAAATTTCTATACATCATTGTCTACATACAGCTTTTATCACATATTCAAATAAAATATCAGCAACAAATATATTCTATTTTAGTCGGAAAAAGAAAATGAGGAAAATTGCCAAGTACATGATTTATATTTTTGCGAATATTATTTTATTGTTTTTTTTGCAAAAGAAAATTATATAGCTACTGAAAATAAAGTAAAAGGATTGAATATGTTATAAACTTACAGAGTTATTCAATATAAATTCTAATTCACTTCAGTCTTGTAAGATACAATACCGGGTATATTTATGAATTAAGGTAGCACTTGCTGTCAACTATTTGCAATTTATTGTTGAGTGGAAAAATTCTAAAACAAAAAGGTTGTATAAGCTTATATTTATTATTCATATAAAAGATCTCAAAAGCCTAGTTTTACAGAGATTGCTGGATAAAGATAAAAATATATTGTGAGAATAAATCAAGTCAATGTAAAATATCAGATATTTTAATGATCTTAATTCTAGAACAACAAACAAAATATAGAATTGACAATTTAACTAACTTAAAAGTTCTATAGATACAGGATTTTGACTATGGTTGACATTGATTGCGTATTCCATTTTGATACTGAGTGCATGATAACAGCATGTTAGGAGTGGGCTACTAGTTAAATCAAGAAATAAATACAAGCTTTAAATCTTGCAAATTTGATTTGTTTTAGCATTGCCAATGAATTGGCTGATCACAGTAATCGAGCTTTAGAACAACCAGATAAAACTATAGGAAATCCAGTCAGTGCTTTTCTCTATGTTAAAAGATTAACTTTAGATTGGGAAAGAGAAATTGAACCTATAATAAATAATGATACCTATACAAGTAAGTAATATTTATCTTATTAGATTTCTTTAAGGAAAGGAAACCACAATATGGAATGTGATGTGATACTATGATGTTTTTATAGTCTTGTTTGGCATTGTAGTCTAGGTGTTGATTTACAATTAAATACAATGGATGGTCCATCATGATTTTGAGATATTCAAGCATGATAAGAAAGTGCACATATCAGGAGATGTTTATTAAAGTTTTACAAACAATATGTCATGAGTGTCACAGATGGACACAGCTCCTACATAACAAATAAATAAAATTTATGATGTTACTAAATTGATAGCGCAAATGATATGATCATGATGATCTTTATTCACTATGTGGTAGTATAAAGAATAAAAACTATTTGAATATTGAAAAACATATGTGCATCTGTTTTCTTCATTATACATATTGTAGTGTTTGGTTTACACAGAACTGTTAGCTACATCAAGCCTAACCAGTATTATATACAGCTGCACTTAAGGCTACATTGACATTCTTCATTAACAGTTTTAAATCTACAGTCTTTGTATCTAAAATGTTTATTGAAATGTGAGCAGAAAAGATTAATTCTCTTTAAGCCATGGTAAAACAAGTGGAATATTTAAGACAAGATTTACCAAAATACGAAGATTTAAGTGGCGCTGCTGCAGCATTAATGAGATTACAGGATACATATAAATTAGATACATCTAAAATAGCAGAAGGTGATTTAGGTGGTTCTAAATGTGCTACATTATCAGGTAGGTTATGTGCAATATAACACAACATACTACCCCCATATGATAATACAATATGTGTTATTTTAACACTTGACATCATGTTCCCAATGAATAGTCCTATAATTTTTATCATATGGTGGAATCTTAAGCTTGTTACAATACTTGCATAAATGTGTTCCATACGACAATACCATCATTTAATTTTTTTTATCAAAGAGCAACTTAAATATCAATATTTCTTGTTGAGCTTTTGTTAATTCTAAGCCTTATGAATTTATTTAAGTAATCATGGTTAATGTTTAATTGCCAGAATGTATATATCATGAACCCTTTTGTCACTTTGCAAGATATTTATGTAGAAATTTTCTTTGAAATAATGACTTGATGAGCAATAAAACTGTTTGTAGGTTTAATTGTTTTCTAAAAAAAATTAATAAATATGGTTTATTGTCAACATAATAATTCATTCTTTCACAAGGCATGGTAAAGATATCTTAAAGATCTAATAGTTAATGTTTACTAAGACATCAGAAGTACTGACATATATATCCACTGAAAATATTCAATAAATAGGCCTACATACAGATTTATACCATTTGTATATTAACTTTAACCTTTGTAACACCCACTACAAATTTGCTGAGTGAGCAATTTCTTTTTGCATCATATCACCTTAAAAGACAGTTATATTATGTCTGTCTGTTTAAAACAACCTATATCATCTGTACACAGAATGTCTAATTATATTGCAAGATCATCAGATGTAACTTTTCTTTTAATAAAACTTTAACATGGCATTTATGACATCTCTAGACTAATTCAAATCATATTAGTTTATCATATGTCATTTTATAACAACAGTTGTAAAATACATTCTTCTTATCTAATCATCATTTTTTAAAAAATAATAACAAACTTGTGCATATTTAATATTCTCCCTTACCCTACCCTACCCTACCTTGGTTCATTTGAATTTATTTGAAAAAAAATATATATATATTTGTCTAAATGAAATTCTGAAACTTTGATTGATGCACAGGATTTATTACAGTATTTCAGTGGCCAAATCTAACCAGTAACAAGACTCACCATGGGTCAGTGCATTAATAATAACTTGTTCTTGTCTGCATGCTGGAGGAATCTTATGTGAGGGACATTAAGCAAGAGTGATTGGTGTTATTTTAAGAAATTTTAGAAGACAAATAAAAATTTAGATTTGACCGATAGTTAATGTTTTATTTTAACTAAAAATGATTTTTATGGTTACACATTGCTGGTATAAATATATATAATCTATTAACACGTTATGATGATTATCAGCAAGGTTATTATAAACCAAACAGTATCAACACCGACTTGTAAGACCTGTTCCTTACCAACATATTGCTAACAAACCAATAATAGCAGTAAACCTTATCATATATTAGCTATTTTTGTATATTGAAAACTGAAAACTTTTATTCAAAATTACACAATAAAACAAGGTTTATTATTATTAAAAGATTTATTAATTGAGTATATTATTTTAATGGTATTAAAGCAGTTGATTTTAACATAGCTTAATTGACCTTTTACAGCCATTGATATAATATTCATGATTTGAGTTGCATATATATCACCATTTATATAATAATTGACCTTAATACTAACCTTCAATGCATGTTGCATGATTTCAGCTGTTGATTGTTATGAAATTGGTAGAATATCATATAATGAAGAAGACTTTTATCATACTACTCTATGGATGAATGAAGCTATTAGTAGGATACAAGATGAACATAATTCTACTGTATCTAAATCAATATTATTAGATTATTTAGCATTTGCAGAATATAAGGTAAGACAAGGCAGAAACATGTATGGCACATTTGTAGGGAGAAAAGTCCTTGACAAAATCTGCTAAATAATTGACATCTGTGAAAAGTAGCACTCTTTACACTTTGTTTGTACATCCTAAATAAAATTAGATCTCAACCACCTTCATGGAAATCAGCAAATCGAATCTCATGACTCATTTTGTCTCTCGACTAATAGGTCCAAGTTCAGTTTTTCAATGACTGTCATCATGTTTGGTGTTAGAAGCCAATTTGAATATATTGTAGTATAACAGGTTTATCAAGCAGAAGGGAAGGTTACACATTTCTATTATCAGAAAAAACTGTATACATTTTTTTAAAGAAAATTTTGTATAAAACCACACATCACCATCTAACACCACATCTTGTATTGAACATTTATCTCTTTATTTGTGACCTTGGCCAGTGCTTTACATAGAAGTTTTTAGGAACTTCTTTACTCTTAACACCACAGGAAATGAAATGACCTTCTTTGTGGAGGATGAATTTGGATCTTTCCAAGATCAATGAAGAAAATCGCACAAGGTCATATTGATATAACTTGTTGCATTGTGAAGATGAAAAAAGATAAAGATAAAAGCATGTGGCTGCTTGTAAAGGGATGTAGTCCTCTAGATATGTCCTTTACCAGTTGATATAGTTCAATAACTGTAATACTTTTAGAAATAAAATCAGATTTACAAACTACTTGATATAGTCCCAGTGCAGTCATGACTGTGATGACTGTAGTGTAGTGTTAATACTGCCTTGAGACTAACTTATATCTCAAATTTTTGTTAAATTGTAGGAGATCTGAACATCATATTCTGTTACTTAAAGATAATACAGACATATGAGCTGTGTCAGCTGGTAATGGACATATTTTAACAACTATCCCTTTAATGTTTCCCAGTCATCTAATTTCCCAGCACTTAAAAAGGTTATCTAATCTGTTATTATTGAATAAATTGCTTTATTATTAAACTAAGATGTCAGCATGACTATATTAAAAAAAATTAAAAAATGATATTGGTTATTTTGATGCATTTGTGAATCACCCATATTAACCACACTAAACACTCCCTTTTTGACCAAACCACAACCATTATAACTCATTTAATCAGTTTTGTTTTTTGTTTAAAACATAAGCAAATTGTAATTGTAAATGTTTTTAACAGAGATTTGACTCTTGATGTAGGAATAGAACTATGATATAATAATGATTTGTATACCGGTAGTTAAGATTTGTATTGAATAAATTATCAATCCTTCAAATGACAAATACATTCTTAGTATGATATTCCACTTACAAGAAAGATTTGAATCTTGTTTAAGATTTGTAGGCTGTGTTATTGACAAGCAGTTTTTTTACCATTCAAACTCAATCATTTTAATAGTATATAGACATTTTATAAATCAGGCACAATTTGTATTTAAGTTGAATTTCATATTCACTGCCAACTCAACACAATTTGGTGTGTGCTTTGTTTGAAAGAGAGGGTTCTTTTTGCTAAATTATAGGGTTATGTTAACTAGCATTTGCAAACAATATGCTTGTGGCTTTCAGCAGAACTCAGAGCTTGGTGTGTGATGTTTTTGCCCTCACTGCATTTTCAAAGAATTGATATTAGCAATGTGACTTTATTTATCTCCTAGCTGAAGAGTGTTTTGAATTGGGACGGTTTGCTTATAATAATAAAGACTACTATCATACAGTCATGTGGATGCAAGAATCCCTAGATCGAGAAAAACAAGAAAATAATAAAACAATACCTCGACTTGATGTGATAGATTATTTGGCATATGCTACGGCCATGGTAAGCCTGTATATATCTATGAAGCATGTTCATTTAAACCTTGTCTGCAAAATATGACCTTATTTATCCCCTAGCTGAAGAGTGTTTTGAATTGGGCCGATTTGCCTATAACAGAAAAGACTACTATCATACAGTTATGTGGATGCAAGAATCTTTAGATCGAGAAAAACAAGAAAATAATAAAACAATTCATCGTCTTGAGGTGATAGATTATTTAGCTTATGCTACGGCCATGGTAAGCCTATTCATATCTAGGTCTCGTTTTTCAATTATGGTGGCAGTTAAGCCAAACTTGTTCGGGGTTGTTATTTTAATGCCATCGATCTATTTATAAAAGTCTGGTTAAATATTGTTACGAATAAATGATTGAGTTATGAAATTGCTACCTAAGAATAAAGATTTTTGATGTTCTACATTTTCTTGGCCATGAAAGTTGATTTATTAATGATCAACTTACCAGGACTAAAAATTGACCCTTAAGAAATTTGTGACCATTTATGAAGTATAGTAGGTCTACCTTAGTTATATGTGTGACTATTTAAATTCATTCTTATAAAAAACAGTGTTGGATATATTCTTAAAGACAAAAATACAACTCTGTCACCTAATGATATAAAAACTAGAGCATTAAAAGTAAAATATATTATAATTTTAAGTGTTTTTAATTATTTATTGACTGCAATGAAGATTCATTTAAAATCCTGTCAAGTTTTGTAGACAACCTTAAACTCATTGACAAATATTTTGACACTTATAGTTTTGAAAATCATGAAATGAAACATAAAAAATATAGTCGTGCTGATATTTAAAGTTTTAAATTATAATGATTTATGATAATTCATAATATATATGTCTGCTATTTATGAATTTATATTTGTAGCAAGGTAATATTCGTCATGCACTGTCACTTACCAATGAATTATTAACCATAGGTAAGTATTGTTTCTATCTTGTGCACAGAAAATGATGATTTTCAGATTAAAAACGAATGGCAGTAAGGTATTTGCAGTTTCAGTGTTCTTAACTTGGAGCCCAAACTGCCTCAGTTACTGTCCTATCTTGACAGAAAACCATTGTTTCCATATTAGCCCCTACAAGTTGTTGCGGACTTTACTATAATGAAGACAGTGATGTGATATATTAAAATGAATTGAGCCAACTTATTCCAGATCCCCATCATGAAAGAGCAAAAAATAATCGTGTTTATTACGAAAGAATGATAAAAGAAGAAGAAAAATCACAAAAAAGAGGAGATGAGGGTTCCAAAAATGTCATTCATAATATACGTAAAATTGATGAATATAGAAACTCTGATGAATTTTTAACTTATGAATCATTGTGTAGAGGAGAAAATACTCAGGTAAGTAGTCAATTACTGCCCTTGATCTTAATTGGTTTGGAATTAATGTAGTAAATCTAAGCAATACTAAATTATTTTCAAAAACTTCCATTTTATGCCAAACTTTTGATGTAGTTGTATAATGCTGCCTGCCATGTCAGTAAGTTAGCATTGCTCATTGATGCAATGAATTATCATCTGATTTGATGAAATTTCACATTTTGAAAATATCAGCTGAGTTTGATTTTGAAAATATTTCTATGAATGTTGTAGAAGTAACTGCTTGTTATTTAGGCAAAATACATCGAAATTAAACTTGGTATGCGTCTTTTATGTAGGTGATGCACAGTTTTTAAGTTATTGGGCTGAACAAACTATCTATTATTAGATATTGCAAAGTATTTTAATATCTAATTGCTTTTCTAAATTTATCTTTCTTTTTAGAGTTGGCAACAAGTGTTTTAACATGCATTCAATTATTGACAATGAAATATTTCAATGAAGCAAAAATTATTATTCTATTTCTATATAATTTACATTAGGCTACTTTTTGAATGGTATAGGACATTTATTGGACACTATTATATGGATGATGATAATTTTGACTTTTGTTATAAATGATTGCAGTCCGCATTTGGGTCTTCATAGTATTTTCAAAAGTGGGCGTTTAGCATGCACCTGGTATATGGGAATAATTTATATTAAGCTGGAAGGTATAAGGAAATATAACTGATGACTATTAGATATGATTAAAATGATTAGGATGATAAAATGCTACAGGATATAAAGTCAATTTAACGCAACGTCAGTTTAATGTCACATTGATTATAAACATGTCATATTGTCATTAATAACAGTCTTTTTATCACTCTCGTCAAGTTCTAACCGCTAGCTCTCTATTAAACTGACTTTGTTCTTGATGAAACCTACATGATATCTTAATAATATGATATCAAACTAATTTTCTACATCAAGAGATTTATAATTACATTACTGACAATTTCATTGATTTTTTTTATACCTTTAAACCATTTAATAACTTCAACAACATTTAAATTCATGTTTTTGACATTTTTTGTCAAAATAAGATATTTGAAACTTTTGGAAAAATTTGTTTGCAGACTTAAAGAGGCATTATGCAAAATTTTCATTATCAAAAACTTATAATACCTGAAAATATTTCTAAGATACACTTTTTATATCTATGCATCTACTTGATCAAACTGAATTTGTTTTAAAAGGGTTTATTAAAAACTGGAAGTACTAATTGTTAATTAAGCATTTTGAACTAAGTTTTGGTGTGTGGCTTTAATATAATGACTGAAATCAGTATAGTAGTTTTCCTACATCTTCAAAAAAGCATAAGGAACTTAAACAGCTTACGTAAACCTTTAAATTCGTTTAAACATTAAATAATCATCCACTGAATGTTTTGTTAGTTAAAACTTCTAATTACGTTAACGGACACATTTCCCTAGATTTTTGGTGAATTCTTTTCTAATAATTGTAAGAGCACAAAAAGCAGTATGCCCCTTTTAGTAGAAATATTTTATCTTAAATAACAAAAGTGCAAATATAAACATTATTTAAAAGACGGAGGGAATGTTAACAGATTCTTGTTAAATGTCATTTCAGGTTATAGAGTTTGAGGCTATTGCTAGTCAGATTATGTACTTTTGCTAACTATAAAAAAGATATACCATATTTACAGCTTAGCTTATTATTATACCTATATGTACTTTGTAGGTGGTAAAAGATGCAGATAAATTAAAATGTAGTTATAGAACTAATAAGAATGGATGGTTAATGCTTCAACCTGCTAAAGAAGAAGAGGTACATCTTGACCCCTGGATTGTTATATACCATGATGTCATGTCAGATGATGAAATAAATACAATTAAACAGTTAGCTACGCCTAGAGTAAGTTAAAATAATTCAAATAACTGTCAAGTTCATTGTATACACATCACAAATATCACCCATCTCTTCTGTAAACATGAGGCTTTTAAATTGACTTTTTTGATGTATGACATACAGAAATCAGGTGGATGCCAAAAAACCTTGAAAAGTCACATACATAGACTATGCAAATATCAACTTTGTGTTTAATACATTGATAGGTAACTATTAGTCTGAATTTCTCTTTATTTAAGTAAGCAAAAGATCCTATTTAAATGCAAAAGTATAGCAAGAGATCAAATATTCTGATCGTTTTTCTACCAATTTTTATGACTTCTGTCAATCCTTATCCAAAAGCCTGAATGTTTTAAAGATTGGTCTAAGAATTTGCTCGTATCTCGTTGCAGCTAAACAGAGCCACAGTTCAAAATTCTAAAACAGGAGCCTTGGAAACAGCTGAGTATAGAATTAGTAAAAGGTAAGTTATTTATTGCATCCCTTACTTCTATTAGGTGTGTATAAGGCCTTGAAGGTCATCTTTATAAATGAATTTTCATATATCTAGCAAATTGGTAGCTTGAATCTTATAAGCTTATTTTAGTCTTGTATGTTTTTCAATAACATATAATGCAAAAATAGACCAAATTCCTTAATATCGTTTAAAAGTTTAAGAATGTTGCAAAAGAAGTTCATGAAACCAGGATTACTTTCTTTATTGAAATAAATGAAAAAAATGTAGATTAATTTGACATTGTTAACTTATTGTGCATTTTACAATGTTAAATTTGTGGACTAAAGGAGAATGAATTTCAATAATAGCACACACTCCTCATTCCTATTGACAGTTGAAAATTGAAAAGTAGTAGATCTATGTGTCTGTTCTCATTCTGCTTAATGCACATTGGTTAAATCATTAAATATGAATTTCAGTGCATGGTTAAAAGAAACTGATCACCCAGTTGTTCAACGAGTTAATAAAAGAATAGAAGCTATTACTGGATTAGCTACTGACACAGCTGAAGAACTACAGGTTAGTTTTAATTCTGTTTATTTCAAGAGATGTAATGCTCTTGGGTTACTTGCCTGTATCTAGAACATACTATAATACTTCTTGGTTCAAGCTATATATTTTTTAATTGTTAGTGAATCAACTATTAATGTAAATATTTATACAAATATGTGGATTGGATTGATATTGTTATAGATAATTATAGGAAATGATCTTAATGATGATTCTATAAATGAGTAGCTCTATAATTAATTTAATAAATCATCTCTCTCTATATTTCAGATTGCTAATTATGGATTAGGAGGACATTATGAACCACATTTTGATTTTGCTCGGGTTAGAAAGGCTGGTGTTCAAAATTCTGTTCTTACAGAAGCTTGATGCCTGTTATATTTACTAATTATGATAGATAATGTTTAGAGTTCATAACCTATATACAAAAGAGTTATTTCCCTTTGCATTGACAACTGAAACTGGAATGGCTTATTTAAGAAATAATGCTTTTTCCCTTTTACATATCTTATTAAAAAAAAAGAAATTGTCTTTTTTAAATTCCTTGGATGTCTCCTCCCATCTTTTGTCACATCTTATGTCTAGTCTTTGGTACATCTTATGATTAGTATTTGGCATATTTTATTTTTAAGCTCATTATATGTTTAGACTCATCTTACATTTAGCCTTTCACACATTTTAACAGTATGATGTATTCTTAGCAACTGTCCCCAAAAATAGAAATTTCTAGACAAATTCTGTTTACTTCAATTATTATCAGTCTATTTTAGTTATTTGTTTGGTTTTGAAGTTTATGATCCCTGCAATTGAATCGCTGAGACATTGCTTGCTGATGTAGATAAATTGGGGAAACAGCATGATGTGTTACAGTGAATCCCTAACTCCAGAAGTGCACAAAAAATTGGCTGAGCTGTCTCCTTTCAAAATTTGCATAAGACTTTTAGTTCCTTTTATTAATCCCAGAGGATGAATGACCCTACAAATCATCTCAATAATCTAGAGTCAGAACTATATATTTTCGATTGATTTTATTACAGCGGGAAGAAAAAGATGCCTTTAAATCACTTGGTACTGGTAACAGAATAGCAACATTCCTCTTTTATGTAAGTTCCTTCTACCTTATTTTCTTTTTTAACAGCAAGTTGTTATCTTTTATCAGCAAGTTCTGCTTGCTTTCAGCTTGTCAAGAATATTTTGCAGTTACTTCAGAATTTGGTATTTTCATTAGATTTCTTCAAAAAATGAAGGAATAAAAGATTGGATCCATCAGCAAAATGAGATGCTTTAAGCACTTAATAAATCCAAAAATATGCAAGAAATCTACAAAACTGGAAGGAAATTGACTGTGATAAATGACTGTTAAAAGTTGTTATATTGTCTTATTGTTATTATTATTAGATGTCTGATGTAGAAGCTGGTGGAGCCACTGTATTTCCTTATATTGGAGTTAAATTATTTCCTAAGAAGGTAATAACATTATTCTATGTTTCACTTGACTTGAATTCTACAAAATAAGAAATTTGTTTTAAGTATTAAAATTGAAATAACATATCTCTTCTTGCAGAATAATTTCTCAAATCCAGATAATTTGTTTAAATTGATTCTTACAGTATATAATAAGATATCTATAGCATGAGTTTGCCACAGAGAACTAGAGAAGTTGCATTAAATTGAAAACCTAAAATTCTATTTCTAAATCATTTTATTATGGATTTATTTAATACTTTAGTTTTTTTATTTTGTAGGGTATAGCAGCATTTTGGTATAATTTGTTTAAGAATGGTGAAGGTATTTATAATACAAGACATGCTGCCTGTCCTGTGTTAGTTGGTACCAAATGGGTTTCAAATAAATGGTTGCATGAAAGAGGACAAGAATTTAGACGACCTTGTGGCAAGACAGAAGCAGAATAAGATTTATAAAACAATTGAATCATCCAAAAATTTCATGAATGATTGTGAAGAATGAATGGAAAGGGTTTATGATGCTTTATAGTGCTTTTTAAGTGGCCATATCGCCATTGCTACTGTAGAATTAAAAACAGTTGTAGAGAGGACAGTTTTCATCGAGCTGAATGCATAGTTTAGACATTTATAAGATCACATATAAAACTAAATTAATTATTTGTATGTAATGAGGTGTTCCATCTGTTTTTATCTTTTGATCACAATGTTTGGCAATATAGAAATAATATAGTTTAGTGCTGTGGTCATCGATATCTTTCCTCAAAAGCTTTTTTTAATCTTGAATTTTATTAGTGAAAGTTTTGGGATATTATTAGATTGGCTGTAGTCATTAGACAGCTAATATACTATAGAATCATCAATTGGATAAATAAGATAATAAAGTATAATATCTGTTATGTTGGAGAGAGAGAAGACATATAAGAGATGAATTAGGACATGAAACATTTTCCTATGAAATTGTCATTAATACAATATTATTTTTATACCAAATCAAAACTTCTCAAAACAGAAATCCACAAGTTATATTATTTTATGATTTTGTCCATATGTTTTGGATATAATTTACATATACTTATTTATTTTCAGTGGTGTTTCTATGTGGAGGGCCCACACTGGGCCAGAGAACTGTAAAGGGAGCTTAAAGCTCTTAAAAATGCCACTATTTTATGTTTAATACACAACCAATGCAAAAATCAAAATTTTAATGTGCTTTCTGTCATTGCTGGCAGTATAAATCAAAATTAGTGGATACTTCGTTCTTCTTCCAGAATCTCATAATGATCTCTTAATTTGAATGTTGTATCTATTTAATTTTTGCAATCAAAATGTCTTCCATATTGGAACTCCACAATTGAAATTTATTATTATGCTGATTTTTTTTTATAAATCTTTTGTTTTTCCGTCCTATATCTTACCTTATATTGCAGTTTCTTGAGCTTTTATTTTGATGTTCATTCTAGTACTATGTAACATATGCGCCACATTTTTGAAACACATGAATATTTACCTTGTGTTGTATGTAAGCAGGTTAGTTGATATATTCATGTATATATCTACACCATTTAATATTTAAAGGTATACTACCTCTTAGGATTATAAAAAAAAATTAAATTGTTAAACTATTGTTAAACTTTTGTAAATTGAGTCTATGTTCGTCAGTGGACTTACCTGGAAACATAACTTTACGAAAGAATCCTGTTGTAATCCAATTAATCCATAAAGTTTAAATTCATTAAACTTAGTAATTTTTAAACATGCTTAGAAGTGAGTTTCAATATTTATTTAGTTTAATTAATGGATATATCGTTTTACATAGAGTAGAGATTCTATTCTTTAGTCATGGCACCTGGAAAGTCCAACTGATGCATATATACACTTGTTGACAACGTTTAAGACTAAGAAAGAAATTGTGTCCATTCTTAAAGGTAGTATCCTTTTAAGATAGTTGTGTTTTGCTATTTTAGCGATTTTACAATATATTTGTAAACATTTAATGGTGTTTCAGTTCTTATGTTATTAGTTGAATGATTGTTTTGAATGAATGATTGGATCCTTCACAATTTTAAACCATTGTCTTTCAACTAGATACAGATTTTCAATTGGTACATCACACCACAGTAACTTGTATGGTTAAAAACTCTTGAGTGAATTGATTTAAGAATGTGAATTAGAAATCTACACAAGATAATCCAATCAGATTGAATAACAGATTCTGAATAAATGATATCAGATAAACACACTTCATAATATGTAATAGTTAGGCCGACATACAACTACAATATTGAGCCTATAATTGATGTAAAATGTGTATAGGTGCTTTTCACTCTTTTTACAATATTATTGATTTATCAAGTGTAACTATTGATGGCATCATAAGTTTAGCCATAATGAAATAAATATTGAGCAAAAAAAAGACTTTATATCTGTTGTTTTTCTGTGGTCGCTTTTTTCATACTCTTCCTTCCAAAGTCAATTCATACCATATAAACAAAAAGAAATATAAGTATATTTTGAAGGATGTAAATGTTAGGGGCTTGCCTTGAGGGAGCGGGATTTGATCATAAAAACGACGGAGGTGGTTTAACTGACTTGCTTTGGGATAAAAAAAAAAGTGAAATAAGGGACGCAACTAGTGCCTTCATGCAGAGCCAAATAGAACTCAGACCACTAAAACTTTGTATGTAAATGAATGTGTTAGTGCGTGTTATTTTAAACGCCCACATGACATGGTTGGAGCGTATATTACTGTCACCAATGTTCGTCTATCCGTCCACAATTGCTGGTAAACACCCGGAAAGGCACATTTCTTGACTGATTTTGACGAAACTTGGTATGATTGACTGTAATCACCCAAGAATAAATCATAGGCTATTAAAAATCAGGCGTTCAATTTATAGCTGGTAAACACTCTAGAGGGCACAATCCTGACAGATTTTGACGAAACTTGGGGTGAGTGTTTGTAATCATCAAAGAATGAACTCTTTTGAAAATCAAAAAATATATTTGTATGAGTTATTGCCCTTGTTCTTGAAAACGCGTGTAACTTTAGCTTGTCAACTTTCTAGGAAATTAAAAAATTTACAGATTTTGTCGAAACTTGGTATGATTGTTTGTAATCACCCAAGGATGAACGCTGTTGAAAATCAGAAAAATCGAAAAATATTTAGTTTGAGTTATTGCCCTTGTTCTTGAAAACGCGTTCAATTTTTAGCCCATAAACTCATTCGAAGGCACAATTCTTGGTGGATTTTGATTAAACTTTGTGTAAGTGTTTGTTATCAAGCAATAATGAACCCTATTGAAAATCAGAAGAATCGAAAAATATTTAGTTTGAGTTATTGCCCTTTTTCTTAAAAAGCGTTCAATTTTAGCCTGTAAACACACCAGAAAGCCCAATTCTTGATAGATTTTGATGAAACTTGCTGTGAATGTCTGTATTTGTCATCATCCAATAATTCGATGATCCCTATCGTAAATAAGAAAAATCGAAAAATATTTTGTATGAGTTATTGCCCTTGTTCTTGAAAACACGTTCAATTTTTAGCTCGTAAACACCCCAGACGGCACAATTCTTGACGGATTTAGATGAAACTTGGTATGAGAGTTAACAAGTTATAGAAGGTTGAATTTCGTGATTTAACATGAACACAGATGGCAAATGAATTACCGGTCTCAGTATACAAAGACATAAGCCTTCAAGAATGGGCAAGTTCATTGAAAAGTATTTAGTATGAGTTATTGCCCTTGTTCTTTAAAACCCGTTCAATTTTTAGCCCGCAAACACTCTAGAAGGCACAGATTCTTGATGCTTCTAATGTTTCGCCAACATATTGTTTGGAGTTTGAGTTTCTCTTTTCGGTTCCGATCGTTAGTTCTTGGTTTATTTACCCTCCATGGTGCAAGACCGATTAGTAAGACTGCTGATGATGACATAAGAGTGGCACTTGCTCCACCAGCGACGGAAAATCAAGGTGCGCCCAAATCTTCAAGGGGGCGCCAAATGCCCTTATTAACACTTTTAAAAATTTTTTAAAAATGATAATGTTTTCTTCCCCGTCTTCAAAAGGTAAACATACGCCGATAAGTTGTGATAACATCCTTTTTTCAATCCTGTACTTTCATACTTGAAAATTTAATTGGCGGTCTGTGCGACCCAATAGCGTATTTGGAAAGCTATAAAATTCATTTTAAGGTTGCAATTACCATACATTCTATTGGATGACTTGTATATCCAGGAGTATTAATTGCCTTGTTGTTATTACCATCATGAATGTCATTGTAAACTTGCAAATTTAAATTTAGTTTCTAGAAGTTTACTAGAAGCAATATTCTAGAAGTTCGTCGTTTTCGCCACCTTAATATTCACACGCATGCAGGTGAATGTTACATAAGTTTTCCATTATAAACTTACAGAAAAGTGCAGAATTTGCTTTTCTATGGCCAAATCTGGAAGCCTTTTGTCCGAACAATGACTTTGATTTTTCTACTTGAGTTTTGCAGGAGTATTTCCAAAGATAAAGCAAAAGTTTGTCAACTGGCCAACATCTTGAAGTTGAAAGTAGTGAAATCGATGTAGACCCTGAACACGCAGACATGCCAACTAATTACCAGGAAGCAGCTGAAGCACCTTTTCTGTCATGATGCCGGTCAAACTCGAATACTTCCTAAGCAGCTATGACGGTGTGGCACCACACAGGGTGTGATAACTCTTCTCTAGAACTTGGTTATCTAACATCATAGGTTCACAGTCATTTCTACCAGCTGGTCCTTGATGGTCCAGTAGATTAGAGACTGCTGCTGCTGATATATGAGCGGCAGATTTGATGGTCACTACGATGAACGAATTGACGCATTCGGGCAAGGGCCTCGGGAATAACCCCGTTACACAGGTTTGGTCGCCGGCGAAGAAAACGCAAGAAGAACGTAACATTAAAAACTTTATATCAGTCGCTATCAACCTGCGAAAAAGGCGAAAATATTGCGTTCCCTGGGCGCGTTTCTAATCTATTGGCCTGGCGTACTTCATTTTTATTGCGTTTATGGAGATGCTATGACGCTTGCCTAAAGACATTCTCGATTCCGTGGCGATCTCAACGGCGCAAAGTGGCGACGATGGCGATAATCGTACGGTATCTGACGCTCCTGATCTTTAAGCTAATTTCCCGTCGCCGTAACAGCTCAGGAAGGCTGATTTCTTCCACTCCACCCCATATGGAACCACCACACCACTAGCAAGGACACATTTCCGTTGTCACGGAGCTGGAACTGTCAAACGCACTTATTCAAACACCGAACTGAGCGATATTCTGATTCTATGCTCTTGTTAAGAATAATTAGTATAAAATCTTTTCGAGTTTTGTATTACTAACTATCATGTGTTCATGAACGTTCAAGTCTTCTTTAAAACCCGTCCGATATGTGAACCTTTCAGATAACTAAAGCCCCGTTATCCTTGATTCCCACACCCCCCTCCACCCCGCGTCGACATACCATGTCGATTCAGTTGCAGCTATCTAACAAACATACAGTGATTACCTGCAATAACAATGTACTTTATTACTTATAGACAAATACAGTCTTTGTCCGCCATCTTAGAAAATAACCGCCATATTGAAAATATCACTTGGCTATTAGCTTATTATTTTATTATACTACAACTATGCCAAGTTCCATGCTTGCATCATAAACTGAAAGATTTTTTCACTATCCTGCTGGACTAGATGTTATCAATGTCCGTGGGAATTAGAAGGAAACAAATTTGAATTCAGACATGAAATTTCGTTAAATGAACGGAACGACGTCTCTAGAGGGTTATAATGTCACATACTGGATGGAAAGTCCACTGACAATGAATACATAATAGGTACAAATTGATCTTTACAATGTAAATCAACCTTTTATGATTTATTTGAACTAGAATAATATCCCATTCAATTCTCCACTATTAACCTCACTATTGTCATGAACGATGTAGTCAATTAAATGGTAAACAAATAAAATCACATTTCAAACTTTTTTATAAAAGGTTTTGTCTGGTAAAACATAAGGAGATAATGTTAGTCATATCGCGACTTCAACACTGACAATCTCTATTATTTTCCACTAATGGATAATATGCTTCTTTTCCTTGCTGTTGAAAAAATTATGGTTGCTATAACCTTGAAATTCAAAATGGAATCTTAAAGGTTAACATAAGTTAAGATGTGTGTGCTTGAGTTTGCCCCCTCAGCGACCGGCCGATTCTGCGGGCAATTGCATTTCCCCAGAGTCCTAGTAACTGTCGCGATCGCATATGCTGAATAGTGGGCCGACCAACACCTACTTTTCTGAACCAGATTAGGCGAAGGAACCCAGGTCCCATAAAAAGCTAAAACATAAATAAAAAGCAAAGAAACAGTTGAATTCATATTCCAGTATTTTTTTGCGTTTGAGTGTTTAGCGAATTGCCAATTGTGTGGGAAACAATATATTCCATTTGTACCAGTAGCAGTTTTCATCATATATATCGACCCCAATGGATTCGAAATATTATTGGGCGATCCTGGAAAAAACGAAGAAATTAAAATCGCCAGTCTTGTGTATTGGGCTGAATGTTACACTACTTCTACTACAAATCAGTTTTATAATAGCTTTACTGAATTCGGCATTTTTTACCACATAAACAAAAAAGTTCATACCAGAATTAAGAACAGATAATAGTAAAACTATCCATCCATTTGGAAACATCTTTATGAAATGACCTCGTATAACAATCGTCATTATAGAAATCCAACAAAATTGAAATAAACCAAAAACCAACATGAATGTTTTCACTAGTTTCAGGTCACTTTCAAGACCGGACGCTGTTTTATGCTTGTTTCTCTCTACATTAAAAATAAATCCGTCAGAAATCAATATAACCATGGAAAGAATCACAAAAATGAGAACTTGAATAGATTTGATTTTCCATGGGAATTACTTTAAAACCATTACAATTTACACATTCTGTCCAATTATTGTAGTAGAACGGTACATTACTTATTATTATAGAGAGAATCCATGTCATGGTGATAATAAACAAGGCTCTTTCCTCTGTTGCAACACTTTTATGACGTAACGGATAACCTATATAAAAAGCTCGATCAACTGCAATAATGCTCAAATTTAGAATAGATGCTGTTGCAGATTCAAAAAACAGTACGTGTCCAAATATACATAAATATTTTATTGTATCTTCTAAAATTCTTAACTCGGGTATAAGGAACGATATTTGTACCGGAACACCAACTAATAAATCAGCTATTACAGCAAGAGAAACAACATACAACGTACAGTTCTTAATATAGGAGTTCTCCATATCGCTGGTCAAAGGATTGACTGAACAAACGTATATAAACATAACACACTCTACAGCAATGAATACAGCATTGTCCCAAATTCAACGAAAGAGCAATTCGGCTGTTCATTTTCAATCACTATCGCATCTAGTAAAGTTGCTGATTCCTGAGGGATTTGGTACTCTTGTCTCTGTTATACACTGTGCTGTTTTACCAAAACCATAGGTTTCTCATGAATTGGTAACTCAGTGTGTTATTTTCTTGGTACTCCATGTGTTAGAACACTCCAATATTGCCGCATGTATGGTATACATATTATTGTGATTAAAGTACTAATGTAAAAGCGAATATTAAATGACGAGTTTCTACATTTATTATCTGGTGCCATATACATTTTAACATTAAAAACTATCATAGAAAAGTCTTTTATGTATAAATAAATTGTTTAATTTAGTTTATCAAATGTGTGTGTAATTATTTTAGCCAGTTCATATTTATGGTTCACACTATGAAATCAAATAATGAATCATTATTGTTTTCTGCTACATATTTCACCTTTATATTCAGTTCGTAGTTCTCATCCACTCCACATAATCAGTTTTTATTTTGATGAAGTGTTCAATATTTATAACACTTGAGTTCGGTTAAAACTTATTTTAACATTTTAACAGTTTGTGTTTTGTTTAATCAATGAAATATTTACTAAATTATCAGAATATATTTACAGACGGCATTAGTCCTATAAAAGCTGTGTTTTGTTTTGCCCTCTGTATGAATTTTAGGAGCAAATCGGTATCATAATTTTATAAAAGGCATTTCAATGTGAAGCGCCAAGGCGATTACAACAGTTAGTGCATATATAAATTTGAATATATCTAATATTTATAGTAACCAAACATAGTTTTGTTATGAAACAATTAATATTGTAAACAAATGACATAGCCAAGGTTATGATACATGGTAATTAATTCATCAATGTAAATATATCGCAAAAAAGCACCGCAAATTCAAATGTCTTAATAATTATGTGAAGCCAGCCACTTCAATCTTCTGTTTATTGCGACATATCAGTTTAGCGATTGCTCTTCTAAAGCAACTATCTTTAACAGTGTAAACAAAAAAGTTCATTCCCGAGTTTAAATTTGAAAGAAATAATGCACTAAAAAATATACGTCTAATGATGATCCCCGTCAAATGGCCCAGAATGACTTGTATCAGTAAAGGAATCCAGCAAACCATAAACAATCCAAACACCATGAAGAATGTTTTTACTAATTTCATATCAGCTTGAAAACGAGAAGAAGCTGGCTGTCGATCGCGGACATGTTTACTTCTGGCTATTTTAAAGATGAATCCATAAGAAGTAGCAGTAATTATACAAACCACGACTATCATTCCTATCTGAACACATATTTGGTACATTGCTGGCATTACTTTAAAGAGATTGCAATCTCCACAAGATTTCCAATTATTATAATAGGCTGGTACTGTATTCACTACTAAAGATACAATCCATGTACAGGCAATAATACATTTAGCTTTGTTAGCTGTTACTAGTCGTTGATACCGTAAAGGGTATCCAATATAAAAAGCCCTATCAAGTGAAATAAGACCCATGCTGTATATTGATGTCGTTGCCAAAAACAAATATGTCGCATGTGTAAAAAGACAGAATGTTTTGTTAAGATCATGCAGTTCGCGCAATGAAGGGATGAAGAAGGTCATTTGTGAAGGAACTGCCAAACCACCAACCATTAGATCTGCTACAGCAAGAGAAACAACATACATATTGGGTACAGTTCTTAATATAGGAGTTCTCCATACCGCTATAATGGTCAAGATATTTCCAGAGCAGATGAAAATTCCAAGGAATATATCCAGCACTATAAATGGAATATTTTCTTCCAGAGCCACTGTCACGGCTGTACAATTTTCATTCATAATTTTAAAAACTGAGAAATTATGATCTGAATCAAGAACAACTTTCCAGCGCTCATTGCTTAGACTGTTTGAATCTACCGTTAAAGCCAATCGCAGAGAAATTTGCCAGATAGTATTATTGGCTTCAAATACAAAGTTAATATAACTAAATGTTGTTGCATCTTTTAAACAACTGTTTGCTTTACATGTTTAAATATTTGAATGATGCTAAACGACAATTAGTGGAAAGATTTTAATGGGCGATAAAGCTTTGCAATATTTGTTTAGATAAAGCTAACAATGAAAATAATGAATGAAGTATGATGATCGATTCTCGGCATTATCCTGTAGGTAGATGATGGAATATTGAAATTGTTTTAGTTTGTGGTAACCATTTTCTGTTTCCGTCCTTAATTTTTTATTGGGCTGCCAAAGGTCAACTTCATTTGGTACGAAGTTAAAAGCGATTCATTTAGTTTACATACATGCAACTGATTGTACTTGAACTGTCGTCACCCATATGCTTTATATAATAATAAAACCATTGAGATCAATGCTGGCTCATTTCAATCATCTCAAACTCCGGTAGACAGTTGCTATCTTTATGTTTGGACCACCATTATCTAAGTTATATTATGTGAACTGACAGACCTGACGCATCTATGAGCAAACACGACCTTCGCCAACTTCGTTTCCTTACGTACGATACGATGAAGCACCTACATCATCTACAAGCATTTTATTTTAAAGGGGAGAGAATTCAACCACCCATGTAGTATACATTATTTACTAAAATCATTAATCAACATTACTAGGATAATGGCGACCAATAATTTCGCCTTCTTCAAGATAGTCAATCAACAGAATATATGACTCCACAGTCGATTGACCCCGAAAACAAAACACTTGGATGATTAAATGGTTTTATATATTCTCGGAATCAAGTAATGAGTAGTTTTCTGAAAGTACAAATGAACAAAATGTGTGAATATCAAAGTCTCATGTGAGTAGGCCTATGCTAAAATGGGAAAACGTGCACGTGGTACGATTGAGAGGAATTTTGAGAGAAAATTCGTGAAATATGACATGACAAGTATTGACAACACACGCAAATGAGTAAGATACCGAATGACGTGTTCGAATCTTTGCGCCGACACCCACATGGCTCCTAAAAAAATCAGACTATGATTTTTTTTTCAAAAACAAAACCTTGTAAAAACGTCTCTTCATAAGAGTTTAAAAATGTCTTTAAGAAAGTTTTTTATGGCTCCCTCGGTGGGGATAACGCCTTGGTCTAACATCGCATCACAAATTAATCATCTCCGTTGTCGTTTGGCACCAGTAAGATCAACTTGTGAACAGCTCTAGTGTAAATAAATCGATGTGGTTTCTTCGTATAATTTTATCAATTTTGGTAGTTGCTATATCGACTTTTCCGATAAGTCGATCGTCTCCATAGTATACTTTTTCGACTCTCATCATCGGCCAGTTGTTTTGTTGGTCGTTGTCATCTACATACAAGACAATATCATCAATCTTGAAATTACGCGAAGGGTTGTTCCATTTTTGTCTTCTTGGTATCTCTGTAACCTCTTTCCGTTATCTGGTCCAAAATTCATTAGCCAAGAATTGTGCTTTTTTCCACTGTTTGTGCAGATAAAGATTTTCTTTAACAAAATTAGTTTTCCTGGTGGAGGTAAAATTATACCACCTTTTAAAGTCAAAATGTTAGATGGAGATAATGGCTTAAGTTCCGGATCTGCTATTGATTTGACAGTTAAAGGTATCAAATTAACAATCGCCTCGGCTTCTACAACAAATATCTGTAAAGATTCTTTGTGTTGCAGAAGTAAGGATTCTAAAATTCTTCTTATGCTTCATATCTGTCTCTCCCTCGATCCATGGAAATATGATGCGTATGGTGTACTTGGGTTGAAAACAATGTTGCAGTCAAATTGTTTCAGGACATCATTCTTGATTTTCTGTTTATTCAGGTCTTGCTTCAATTTTTCAAGTTCGTTCGATGCGCCAATTATCTATGATCCGCAATCAGATCTGATATGTTGAACGGATCCTCGTCTGCAGAAAAAATCTTCTCAATCCACACAGGAACGAGTCTGTATCTCTTCACCTCAGATCTTCTTATTCTAATAAGGAATGGTCCGAATAGGTCACATGCTGAATGTGTAAATGGTGGTGCTTCATTAACTCTATCTCTATCTCTATCTATTTGAGGCTTGGTGCAAATTATACAACCAGAAATGAAGTGCTGTACTACCGAGGGTCCATTGATGAACCAATATTTGTTTCTAACTTGATTCAGTGTGATATTTCTTCCATTATGATGACATCTTTCGTGACAGTGTAGAATCAAGAGTTTAGTCAAGTGTCTAGTCTTTGGTCTAATTATCAAATGCTCATTGTAGTTCAGTGTTTAACCCTGCACCAACTCTCATAATACCATATTCGTCAAGGAACGGATTGAGTTTAATGATGAGGGACGTCTTCTTCAGTTGGTTACTACTAGTCTTCAATATTGTCATTTCTTCTGGGAAATGTTCCTTCTGTATCAGTTTAATTATTTCTCTTCCGACTAATTCTAACTTCTCTGCTGTCTTTTTCCTAATACTGGATCTATCTGAACTCCTTGTATTCTGGATCTATAAGTCTCAATAAAATATTTCCAAATAGCAACTGTAGTTTTTACTGTATTTTAATACAGTTAAAATATGTACAGGAACTTCTTTGGTTGCTGTTTTCATAATCCTCAAGTTGGTCTTCAATTCTTTATCTTTAGCATATATTTCAAATGATGAAGTTTCCGGTTCTAACAAAAATTCATCTGTCTCAAGTAAATATGTTTGTCCTTTAAACCATAAAGATGTCGTATGTAGTGCTGGTGAGTTTACGCCTCTGCTTGCCAAATCTGCAGGATTCTTTGTTTCATTTCGTAAAAACCTAAGACACAGTTACTGTCTGTCCAGAAGTATATCGAGAGATCGGGGATGAGTAGTTCTTTCTGTAACTGCATCGCTATATTGGTAGACGTTACTGCTGTTGTTAGCTCTAGTCTAGGTATGATTATTTGTTTTAAAGGAATGACTCAACTCTTTCCCATAACCAAGCTAACTTCTATATCATTATTGTCGTTTTAAGTCTTAGGTATGCACAACATCTGTAACTATATGTGCTGGCGTCGCTGAAGCAGTGAAGTTGGTAATCTACTACTTTACCAAATTCGGTAGATTGGTGACATCTGTTGATGCAAAGTTTTTCCTAAGTCGTTATTCTTCCATTATAACCAGTCGTCTTGTAATTGAGAAGATAGTTGTTTATCCCAGGGTAATTTTAGTCTGCAGGCTTCCCGTAAGATTATCTTGCCTGCTAACATCAATGGTGCTATTAGTCCCATAGGATCGAAGACTGTGCTCAGGCTTGATAGGCATCCTCGTCTTATCAGTGCAGAATTAGGCATGTCTGTATTTTCCAAAATGTCATTCTCCTGTCCAAGATCATTCCCAGTGTTCTCTGTTGAGGTGAAAGTCGTCTGTCAATTCAGGAGATCTTTTCTCAACTGGAAGTCTCTGCATAAATTGTTTGCTGTTTGATGCAAATTTACATAGATTAAATCCACCTCGGGAACACAAGTCAATTGCGCCTTGTGCAATGTCAGTAGCTTGGCCAACGTCATCAGCTGAAGTACAACCATCGTCCATGTAAAAATTGTTAAGTACAAAAACTGGAAACATCGTCCTTGTTATCATATACGGTCTGGTGGAGTGCAAAAATGTAGCATGCCGGACTAGATACTGCATATGTAGCATATGTGATAGTCAGTGGGTGGTAGCGAGTAATCATCACTTTCCCACGTTAGTATTCTAGGGAAGTTTCTCTGGTATTCAGGAACTGTCACCATCATGAACATATCGGCAATGTCGCATGTGAAGTCAACAAGATTTTTTCTCATTCGGCATAAAGCCCCTGTTAAGTTTGTCAAGTAGTCTGGTCCCTTGAGTAATTCATCATTAAGTCCTTTCAAACTAGCGTTGAAAACTACCCTAATTATAATTTTATGGAATACTCCATGGTGTGTAAAATAATGTGTTACTGTAGTCTGTGAGTGATTGTCTGGTACTTTCTGTATGTATTCGTTTCTAATCGCGTCTGCCATGAAAGTTGAGCACTCTTTGGCGTACTTTTCATCTTAAGTGAATCGTTTTAGTCGGTCTAGAGAAGCTTGAGCAATAAGTTGGTTGTTACCAACATTAGGTGGATTTCGTCGAAATGGCAAATCAATGTTATATTTCCTGTCAATAAAGTCAAGTCAATAAATTGTTTGTCTTCTTTCGAAATACCCAAGTAATCATGGGTGTCTTCTGTAAATTCTCGATCAAACAGGCGTAGAATTTCTTTGGTTGTAACATCTTTTGCAGATTCGTGTTCTGTTATGAGGAGAGGAGTCCAGAGTCTTCTTCTCCAGCAGTGGGATTTCTGATGTTGACGTAGTTACAAACTTGGTGGGTCGGTTCCTTGCATGAAGAATAGGCCAGCCAAGTCCGTTTTTCTCGGCCCATTATGTAGTTTTTAATTTACCTGTTAGATGTTTACATAGAGGTTACGGTTCTCTTGATCTACTCATAGGCATAGATCGTGCTTTTTTGCAATGGGTGTTGCTTCAGGTTCCTGTTGCTGTCGAGAAAGTGGTCTCAGTCCCATAGAAATTAAAGAATCTACGATAATAGAGAAATTCTGTAAGAAGATTGGTAATCAATGGTTAATACCTTACCCTTGGAGAAAACACCCTAATTTACTTCCTGATAATAGAATACAAGCTGAAAATAAATTGGAATCGACTGCTGAAATATCCTGTACATGCTGAAATTTATAATGGTCAAATTGAAGAAATGGTGGATATGAAATTCGCTAGAAAACTTACAGATTCAGAAATTACTGAATACCATGGTCCTGTTCATTATATTTCCCATCATGAAGTTATAAAACCAGAGAAGAAAAGTACGCCT